CTTGGTACCCTTCGAAGAGGCCTTCCTCTTTTTCCCTTTACCTTGCCCGATTGCCAGAACAGGGGCAGTGGTATGAGTAGAAACAACATTTTCCCCTTTGAGGTTGCTTTCAGCAGTCCTCAAAAGTCCATGAAGCTTGCTCAAGGTGACTTCCTCCTTGTTCATATGATAAGTCATGCGAAACTGATCATAACATGGAGGTAAGGAGTGTAGAATGATATCTATAGCCAACTACTCATCAAATTTCACATTCAGCTTGAGCAGAGGGTCCACGAACCTTTGCATTTTCTGTAAGTGGCCCGTGATAGACTCTCCATCCTTCATTTTAGTTATTATCATGGAGGCGATTATTTCATACCGCTCTTGACGAGCACTCTGATGGTACCTTTCCATCAGATCCTGATGCATCTCAAAAGGGTAGAAGTCCTCATAGGACTTTTGGAGTTCAGGTGTCATAGTGGCAAGCATGATACAAGCTACATTGGTGGCATCTTTCTCATGTGCCCTAAAATCAGCAACCTCCTGTGGAGTAGCAGACGACTCATCAAGTTCCTTAAGCTCATTATCAAGGACATATTCCTTGTCCTCATAGCGTGTGACCATTTTGATGTTCCTAATTCAGTCATTGAAATTAGTTCCATCAAAAATGACCCTCCCACAAAGGTTCATGAGAGAGAAGGAGCCGGTAGGGTTTGAGCCTGAAGCATTGTTGGAAGACATCTGAAAAGGAAGAAAGACAAGTTTAGATTAGATAAAGAGTCCTTAATAAGACACCCAAATGTAATATTAAGTCTAGGACCCAACACAATATTTTATAACTTAGAAGAGGGATGCCGTAATCCAAGCTGTAAAATATTTGAAGGTATGTGAATGACGATTCACCAATTTCCACCATGAAAACGAAATGTAAATAGGTTTTAAATGAACTGAAATTCCTAGATTCTTTTGAGATTCATTGAACTTTTCAATGACATGTTTAAATCTCGATTGTGCCCTCTCAAGTTTGTGACTGGGATGCCGAGGATCACAAACAATGTGTGAATAACCATGCAAATTAACTTGGTACCCTTAATTTTATCACCTAATCGATGTGTCGGTTAACCACACGCGCTCCACCAATCTATGATAAACATTAAGTTACCCTTTTCCACTCTTACTAGTCCATGTTAGTGTGTCGGTTAACCACACACGCTTCACTAACGACTTGGTAAGGTACAAAGTGTAACTTCATGGGGTTAGCTGTCGGTTAACCACACACGCTTCACATTTTCCTAAAGTAACTAAGATTAGGAATTTATAAAAGGTTTAGTTACTTTATATTTATCATTATACTTTTAATGAGAATTATAGTCTTTGTCCTACCCGTTCGGCTAACGACCCTCCACCAGTCAAGGAAGCGGTGGGTGAGAGTGGACACCCATTAAGCTGCCATTTTATAGGCAACAACCTTATACCCCCTTATAGACCGGCTTCGTGAATGAGGCCTACTAACGGTAAGACCGACTTAATCTTATATATATATATATATATATATATATATATATATATATATAAACTTATAATATTATAAAGTATAAGGGTTGAATTCTAAACTTTTAAAATTCTAGGGATTGGAATTAAAGTGTGTGTGAGACTTTACAAATTCCAAAACTTGAGGGCAAGTTTTGAAACTATTCAAAACCTTTCATTTCTATAACTTATGAGTTTTAATGGTTTTAAAGAAAAGACTTTTGGAATTCCATAACTTGAGGACAAGTTATGGAGTCCATTAATTGCATTTAGATCAAGAATTACACTAACAAACAATTTGCAAATAATTCCTATGATCTACCAAAACTCATAAGCATGAACATTCATATCAACAATTTTCAAGAATCATATAAACACATATAAAACTTGAAACTTTGATAATAATCTTTGAAAATGGATTAGCATAATCATTACCACATCAAAAACATATTTTATAAGTCCAAAACAGTTTAGGGTAATGATTCTAGTCCATTTCCAACATTAAAACTCGAATTTCTGCACTCAAGGCCTCCTACTCGCCGAGTGCAAGAACCTACTCGACGAGTAGGATGATTTTACACTTGGACTCGTCGAGTCCCCCCATGGAGTCGGCGAGTTCACTGAATAGTGAGCAGAATTTCGACATTTTCAAGCAATTTGCATCAAGTATAAAGAAAACAAGCCTAGGCTCTGATACCACTGAAGGTTTTGAGCATTTTAACACTCCTATGGTGTGCATGCAACCCTAGAAACCTTGGATCTATGTTTTCTTTATTATACATGCAAATATTCATTTTTCCAAGGTTCATCCTAACTAGCATGTGAATGGGGTATATGTAATATAAAAACTAGTAGAATGACATACCTTTTCTTGTGGTTGATTTCTTGGAGCTTTAAGAGCCTAGCACCAATGATGTGAATGCCTCAAGTGGAATCACAAATCACCACAACAACTTGGAAAACTTGAGAGAATATGAAGCACTTCTAGAAATTCGGCTATGCTCTCTTATCTCACACACTAGTGTCAATTTCAAGTGCCAATGACTCCTTTATATAGTATGGTGGATTAGGGTTACATCCATGTAAACCCTAATACCCATGACCTTTCATTTCCATAGGATCCATGGGTTAAAAGCTTCATGGATTATCCATGGACTTCCATGCAAACTTAGCCCATCCTAAATGAACATTGGCCCATTCTATAAGAGTCCATATCTAATTAGTTTCTTTTGATCACTAAATTAATTCCAAATTAATTCTTGATCAATACTAATTAAATAATATGATTTCATATTAATATATTATAGCTTATAATATATTAATAAATCATAAATATACTATTCTCAAAAGACTATCCATACAAATTGTTCTGGTGAAGTGCAACCCAAATGGACCATGCCGGGTCGGGTCAAGTACATACCAAATATAGTTATGAACTTAGACACCTTATCCAACAGTACTTATAATATTTTGTTTGAGAACTTTGTGAATAAAAATACTCCCCTTCTGCACATGGATGTAGGTCACCTTGACCGAACCAAGTAAATATTGTGTCTTTGTGTTCTTTTGATTTCGTGTGTTATCCACATTACTTCTTAACAAAAGTCATTAAAGCTTGGCAAGTAACATCAGATTTGTTCTGATTTTTTACTAGTAACACGACATGAAGTAACTTTGTATTTTGAACTTTTTGTTTAAACTAAACATTAAACGCTCGTATTACCAAACAAATCTTTTTGTTTAAATATTTTTTTTTGTTAAAAGTTAAAAAAACAATTAAAAACTCATTGCCAAACATGCCTAAACATCCAACTTAAACCGTTTAATCATAATAATTTGATTTTTTATAAATTATTTTTTAAGTTTTCTCAGTAAATAATAGTAATTATTTACTAAGTTAAAAGAGAACTACATACACCATACACCAGTAGTGAACTATTTAGATAGTGTATTGTTACAAAATCAACAAACTATATATATTGATAAAGTAGTAAAATAATTACATTTAATTAAGAGATAAACTAGTAAAGACAAAACTATTAATTTTTTTAGTACTGCTATATTTTCAATAAGTGTCCAACTTAAACCGATTAATTTATAATAATTTGACAACATTACAACATAATCCCGTAATAGTAAATTATCTACAAGATATATTAATCAAAAGTGAAACCGTTTAGAAAGTGTACATGTAGAAAGATAAATCTACATTTCTTTTTATATATTTTTCTTATTCTTTTTAAACGACCACATGTATCATACAAGTGTATAAAAATATAATTATTTTTATTAAATGTGACATATGTTATAATTTAAGATGAATAGGAAAATATGTAAAAAGAAAATGTAGAAGGATATTTAATTTTTTAATATAGAAAATCAACAAATTATATATGTAAATGTGTAGAGATAATATATTTTTGTTTTAAAATTTTTTATTAATATAATTTACAAATGATTCACTAGTATTAAATTATATAAAAATGTTGAGTGCATTACTGAAAAATTTAAACTATTTATCATCTAATAATTTAAATAAGTTATTTTTATGAATAAAACAACTAAATATATATAAAAGGAAAATCAATTAGATTAATGAGACACATAAAGAATATATATATTGAGAAAGGGTTTTTTTCGTGCACCCCACAATTCCCATTTATATCCCACTTTTTGTTTTTTTGTTTTTTTAATATTTTTAATAAATACATATTATTATTATTATTATTATTATTATTATTATTATTATTATTATTATTATTAAAATATTCGTTCGGACTATTTTTGTGTTATTTTTTTCATTCAGACTAAGACTATCACTATGTTATTTTTTCCGTTCAGACTATCTATGTATTATTTTTCCGTTCGAATTATCCCCATGTTATTTTTTTTTATTCCGATTACCCTTGTGTTATTTTTATGTTCCGACTATCTCTGTGTTATTTTCTGTTTAGACTATTCGTATATTATTTTTTTCCGTTTGGATTTTTTTTTCATTCAGACTATTAAAGAGACATCAAATCAAATCAATTATTTTAAAATAGTAATAATAGTAATATTAATAATAATTATAGAAATAATAATAATAATAATAATAATAATAATAATAATAATAATAAAACAAAAAAACAAAACGAAAAACAACAAAAATCTAAAATGGAAAATGACTTAAAAAGGTAACAATGTTTCAAAAACATACAAAAAACACCATTATTCTTTTTTTAGTGAAAAAAATATCATTTTACCGGGTATAGTAGGTTAGCCAGTTAAAAGATTTATGGGAATATACATGGCCTTCCCCTTCGTTCTTTCCCCAAAATCTAGGGTTTCTTTCCTTCTCCTTCTTATTCGTTCGTTCATCCTTTCCACAGAATCACCACAATGGATTCCAACTTGACACTCGAAGTCAATCATACAGGTTCTTTTGTCCCCAAACCGATTGTGTATTTCAATCCAGTAAAAGTGGTTGTTAGCAATGTCGATTTCAGAACATGAGTTTCATGGAGTTCATCTCGTATGTGAAGAAGTTGGTCAAGGATGGAAGAATCAGTGTCTACTATTGTCTTCCACAACGTTCACTGAGAGATAGGTTGAGAGCCTTGGAATATGAAAATGATTATGTACGTTTTCTTGATGTTGGATATGAGAATGGGGGAATGATCAATTTATACATTGATCACAGTCAGGAGATAGTTATGGAGTGGATTGAAGAAGAGATAGCTGAAGATGGATCGATAGATGGTAATACGGATGATGATGATGATGATGATGATGATGATGATGTAGACTCTGAGCTTTCAGATAATGAGTTTGTGGAGCATGAACCTGATGATGAAGTAATACGAATACAACCATCTGATGATCCTTTCATTAGAATAAAAATTTTCAGGCCTCCAAGAGTTGTAGATGATAAGAAAGATGATAAGAAAGACGTCAAGAAAGATCTTCATAAGTATCCAGTTCATGATCCTAACAAAAAATGGGATATAATGGTTCCAGTCTTAGGTATGAAATTTTGTGATCGTTATGAACTAAAGCATTTGTTAAGTGATTATGTTGTTGCTAATGGGTATAAATTGTGGTATGAAAAAAATGATTAAACTAGATTGTTAGTTAGATGTTGCAAAGGTGAAGAGAAGTCTAAATGCCCTTTTAGGTTATGGGCAACTTGGATGAGTAAAGAAAGATCATTTCAGATTAAGTCCTTAATCTCTAAACACAACTGTTATAGGGCCTTCAATTTAGGTGTAATGGTCACATATAGTTGGATTAGAAAACAGTTAATGGAAACCATAATATTGTTGGGTTTTGAGCATTCTAACACTCCTAAGTGTACATGCAACCCTAAATACCTTGGATCTATGTTTTCTCTATTATACATGCAAATATGATTATCCAAGGTATTATCCTAACTAGCATACCAAAACATTGATACTAGGATACTAAAATGGATAGAATACATACCTTGTTGTTGTTGCTTGACTCCATGAAGCTTGAGAGCCTAGTGCCCCAAGTGTGACACCTCAAATGGTTCACACAACATCATGAACTCTTGGAATAACCATGAGAAGAAGACATACATGTTCAAACTGGCTAGCCCTCAAAATATGTATCACTAGTGCCAATTTCTTGAACTAAAGGGGTTCTTATATAGTGTGGCTATTAGGGTTACACCATGTAACTCATGACTTTACCCATTCCTTATGCTCCATGGGTTTAACCTCCATGGAGTATCCATGGATCACCTCATGGTTAACCCAACATAAGGAATCTTGGATCATAAGCCCACATATATAAGAATGAATGATTTACACAATCAATCCCCATATATTTAATTAGTCTTTTTTGATCACTAACTTAAGTCCAAATTAATTCTTGATCACATACTAATTAAATAAATGATTCATATAATATACTTAGGACTTATTAATATATTAATATGTCACAAAATGTCTTTTACCTCATAAACGGTCTATCCAAATGTTCGATGCCATGCCAACCCAAAATGGACCATGCCGAGTCGGGTTCAAGTACATACAATTATAGTTATGGACTTAGACACTAATCCACAGTCTCCCACTTGGATAAGTCTAAAACTATTATTGCGTATGACTCAGGAACCAACTGGCAATCGTAGCTCTCAAAAGCCGCTGTCGAACTCTCCCTTGTAGATGAACTCTGACCTTGTCAATGACTTGTCCATAGATAAGGGATCATATATTCCTCCATTCTAGATATCATATGGACTGAGACATGGATTATAATCCTCTCTCTGTCCATTTGTTGTTTCCCGATTTCCGATTTATGACGATTGACTAATGAACAAATCAAATCCATCCCAGGCCCGGCGAGCACTTCATTGTCATCACCAAATCATCGAGGGGGCCCACAGATATCGCTTTTATCCCGAAGGTAAAAGGAATGGATAAACTTCGACTCATTATGGCTTGTTCTACTACTTGTTGAATCATACACAAAGGCACGTTTTTATAACACCGAGTTACCGAATGCGTTTTCGTGCAATCAATGTAAACCAACTCATAGTAATAACTCATATCTAAGGTTTGAAGAATATAGATATTATCGTCTCATGATACACCGTGATAAAATCCCTGAAGTGATTTCCAATGAGCGCGGGTTGAATCCAATACTCAGAACTTATGAGCACTCTGAGTGTTGTAGGCCCTTGTCCAACATCTTAGACCTCTACAAGCCAACCCATGACAGTCTTGATTCCTATCTACTTCCAACATATGACCGACTGTGGATCGTAGTTTTGAATAACTTAGTCAATCAGAAGAACGACCTAGTTATTCTGGAAGTCAAAACATGCAAAGTGAAACACAAAATAATACTAATCTATATGGCCCCAACACTTTGAGTGTAATAAAACATCTTTATCTAAGCACCATATTGATTACTCATTATTCATGTTCGATTAATCAACTTAATACTTGAATTGAAACAATAGTCATGCCATGCTCCAAGCATGCACCACTATGTTTTCTAAACATAGTCATGCCATACACCAAGTATGCATACTATGTTTGTCTATGATCTTCACTTTGTGAATTTGATCATTTGAACATAACTCCAATGATCTCTTTCACAGTCCCAAATCCTTTTTGAAATGTAAGCACACCAAATTTCTTGTCATTTACCGTAATCTTGTTAGATTCTAAACTTATATGCAATGATCTCTTGTAATGAATATGCACACAAGTCACAAAGATTGGCCAACAGACATTACAAGGTGTTCCAATGGAAAGCAATTCCATGGAAGTGAAGTCTCAAATTCAAAGTACATTCCTTTGAACATCTTCTTGCATTAAGTTCTTTAATCTTACACTTATTCAAATAAAACTTCCACCTATGGAAACAATTCCCATATTCCCATTTGACCATCACTTTGAACAAGAGTTGCCTCTTTTCAGAATATGTCAACATGGTCCTTCAAAATTAACACTATACTTCCCAATTGTCCTTGAGCAACCAATCTTTGGTAAACCTTGAATTGTCCTTGACAATTGTTTAATCCTTTTAGTCATATCCAGTTCTAGACCTTTTCCCTTCTTAATGCCCCAGGCATTGGGAAAATTTTAGAAAGGCATATAGCACATGAAATCGATCCTATATCCGAAGCATATGGGACTCGAGTCATGATGTCTCACATAAAGAACTAAACAGTCTTTTGCTTATAACATTTCCATTTCTATTTGCCAAAGTTTCTCATATTCAGATTATGAAAAGGGATGCCCGTAATATAATCGAATTTTAGAACGCAAATAATGGACCCATATATAGAATTTCCTTATGTTGAGCCATTCCAAACATGAAATTCATATATATATCCTTGACTAAATACGATTAAAACCTCAATCTAAGCTTTTAGAATTGAAATGAAGTATAATTTTCTCTCCCTTAATT